GAGTGCCGAGTGACGAGTGATTAGGAGGACTGAGTGACTGTAAGTACTGAGTGACTGTGAGGGCAGAGTGTTTATGATGACTGAATTACTTTGAGGATTGAGTGAATTGATACCCTGGGAGTATTCATATGGTTTTATTACTGAGTCGCATCGCATTTGACATGCACATGACATACTGGCATAGAGATACATTTTCCTCATGCTGTACCGTATCATGTCATTCATGACTTTTTACACACATTGATATGTGGTCATAGAGAGGTAATTTACACATGCCATCTAGAAGGAAAATGAAACATCATATTTACTGTTGAAAGAATTTTTGGGAAAAGTTACAGTTTTCAAACTTAATCATATTCTTGACGATTTCGGGAAATGATTTGGGCTTTTATTGGTATACGTGAAAAGAGGAACTGTTTTTGAAAAGCTATGAAAAGACTGAGCACTTTATCTCTGAGCTATTTCTTTATTTATTTGCTTTACACTATTATGAACTGCTATTTGATTATTGGTGTCGGGCCCGACCTATGTTCCAAGTCGTCACTACTTTCAACTTGAGGTTAGGTTTGTTACTTTTTGAGTACATGGGGTCGGTTGTACACATACTACACTTCCTGCACATTGCGTGCATATCTCGGATGCCGATGTTGCTGTGTTCGATGGGAGTTGGATTGGAAGATGTGCTTGCGTCCCTGTTGTAGCTGCCTCTTGTTCATGGTAGCCTTAGATTTTAAAACTCTGTTTATGTACTTATCAAACAGAAGATGTACTTAATTCATATCGGCTTTGTAAATTCTATTCTTAGAAGCTCATAATTTGTACTACCAGTCCTCGAAAAATGTATAAGATTCAGATAATTCTCTTGTTTATACTGTTTTATGGAATATTGTTGGAATTAGATAGGATAGTTGGCTTACCTAGCGGGTTGGGTTAGGTGCCATCGCGACTAGTGAATTTTTGGGTCGTGACAGACTGGTATTAGAGCTCTAGGTTCATAGGTTCTACAAGTCATGAGAAAGTGTCTAGTAGAGTCTTGCGGATCGGTATGATGACGTCCATGCCTATCTTCAAGAGGCTACAGGGAATTTAGGATATACTTCCCATCTTTCTTTTCTTATCGTGCGGCATTGATTCAGCTTGAAGCGTAATCCTTTGAATTCCTTCCACGCATTTGTATGCGCACTTGAGCGCTCGGTATCAGCTGTGCATCGACGGCTTGTGATTCCCTGGATAAGGTGCAAGATGTGATTTCTGTGTGTTGATGATGGGCCAGTTAGGAGGACTTGAGGCCGGGTTTTGACTGTAGCTGGAGCATTGAGGTGTTGATTGTGTGAGCATGTGCTTTTGGATTTATATGTCCGGAAGTGTATTAATGGAATTTGTGGCTAGATGGCTATGTAATGAGTATGATGTGACTGCGAGATGTGTTCATATGATTTGAATATGACGAGAAGGATTTGCTTAAGGTGTAGAAAGAACTATTTAGTGCTTGATTTCCATCTTGACATGACATATAGTCTCGAGTTATGGGTGAGTTGAAGGATCCTTTTCATATTGTTTAGTTGAGGAGTGGAGTAGATTTTCATGTCGTGATATGAGTTCAGACTCAGGAAGATTAAGTGGTTGCGTAATAGTTATGACTGTGGAAGGGTATAGAAAGATGTCATTTTGAGGCTAAACAGGTGGGTTATCTCCTGCGAGATGTCCTGAGGTTGTGTGATCCCTATGTTATATTGTTGAGAGTTCTCTTTTACCGGTAAATTATATGTAGTGCAATTTGAGTTTGGATCGCTTGTGAAAGTTGGCTTGACTGTTACGAGGATGAATACGGGATTTGCAAATGATTTGAGGTACTATATGGTTTGTGTTACATGAGCTTAGGAAGGATTTAGTTGAATCCTATTGCGGTGTTATTCCAGTATGGGGGGTGGCTATAGTAAGTTATCAGATGCTTTATTCCTTAGATTTGAGCCAAGTGGGGGAGTCTGCTATCGAGGAGTTGATTGCACGGTTATGTGTTGTATTGGTTTTAGTTTGAGGTAACTGGTTAATCAGTTATAGCTTGCAGAGGTCAAGATCGGGGGTATCTCGAGTAAAGAAAATTTTGGATAAGGGTTGTATTATGCTTTATGGGTATATGAGAAACGTTGGATGATTGATTTGTTATTTGTAAATGATGTAGCATGCATGGAGTAGGGATTCACTCGGTTGCTAAGAAAAGTGGATTACTTCCTTGGGTGTTGTTGTGCTGATGGGGCACAGATCGTTCGGTTCGTTTGATCAGTTTAACTGAAATCTGAGTAGAGTGTTATATATATATATATATATATATATAAAAGCACGAATAAAATGTTGGATTACAAAAATAACCTTTTAATATTAAGCATAATAACTCGCAATAAAAGGACATAATCGGAATTCTAGACATTAGCCTTGTAATTCTATTAGTATTGGAACATAATACTACATGTTAGGAATCCTACATGATTACCTTTAGGAATCCTACTTGATAAATTCAATATTTTATCAATATTTTTGTACACCAATACTTCTCATCGTTGTTGTCCAAATATAAATAGGATTATAGGCATATATGGTTCAAAAAGAATGCCTAACCGCATGATAAGCATGAATAAAATATGGGATTACAAAAATAATCTTTTAATATTAAGCATGCACGAATATATATTGATAGACCAAAATAGTCCTAAAATATTAAACAGAAGAACTCATGGGGAAAAGACATAGCTGCAATAACTTTTTTTGGACTACAATAACTTCTATGTTAATTTTTTTAATATTTAAGATTTTAAAATTAATTATGGTGGATAAAATTATAATCATGGTTAAATATTCAAACATGAGATGAACTAATGTTAAGAATAAATCAACAAAAAATAAATTATATTTTTATGTACCAAATAATTAAATCTCTCAATTGATTATTTAGCAAGAGAATCCAATTAAATTATTTTTTAAATTCATCATATGAGTAAAATCATTTTTCAAGTTTAAGAAAAAATCTTACGATACATAAATTTATTCCATAAAAAAGAATGTTAGAGATTTAAAAAAATAGATGACAAAGTAAAAAAAAATTAGTATGATATTAAGAAGGCCATACAAGTGTTTGAGGAAGCACAATCAAAGCTAAATCCTGAACAAAAATAAGCTTTCAAGACTATATTATTAAAAATCGACTCTCGTATAGCGGGATTATCCTTTGTAGATGCCTCCGACGGAATCGAAATAATATTTCTACGTCATGCATTACTTGCAAATGTCAAATCAAGATGCATTATGTTGTTAGCAATAAGAGCAAATAGTGTACCAGCAACAATTTTATTATGAGGTCGTACAACTCACTTTAGATTTGATATACCTTTTCAAATAACTGAAATAGCATCACAAATATATCAAATCAGATCAATAGTGCTAAATTTATAAGGAAAGCAAAAGTGATAATATCAGATGAAGCGTATTTGGCTAAGCGTCAAACGATCGAAACAATCGCATAGAGTTTTAGAGAAATATTGGATATCTATAAATCGTTTGGTGGAAAAGTAATAATTTGGGAGGTGATTTCTGTCAAGTACGACTAGTAGTTCCAAAATTGACCAAAGCAGAAAATGTAAAAGCTAGCTTGCCAAATTATACTTATGACCTCAAATGAAAAATATTCAAATGACAAGAAATATAAAAGTAAGAACAGATCCAACATTCAGTGACTTCTTGCTCCGTGTTGGAAACGAATAAGAGCATCCATTAAATGATGATTTGATTCTTCTAGAACACTTGGTTATCAACCCCAGTGGTAATAGTAGTGCATTTAATAAGGAAAATATATATTTTCATCATTAGATTAAATGCAGTTTGTACATATTACATGATAGAAATTAAAGAGTTATTTTAGCTAGCAGAAATGAAATGTTGATTGACTAAATAAAACGGTGATTGCTAAGTTTATGGTAAAAATAAAAATATTTTTCAGTTTTGACTCAGCAGAAGATGATACCAACAATAACTATTAAGAAGAATACTTGAATACTTTAATACCAAATGGTCTTCTATCGTACATGTTTGTTGTCAAGTTCATTATTTTTTACGTATGTTAGTGTCACCATATATATAATAGACGAAGTTAAAATTGATCTTCCATTGCATATAGGTTGATTTTGGAGAAAAATATGTATGTCATGCTACTAAAAACTTAGATCCCCGCCGCATAGCTTATGTAATAGTACACATATGGTTTATAGAAGTTTTGACAATAATGTCATACATGCAGAACTTATGATACTGGTCAATATGCTTCTAAGTATGTGTGTATCCCCGAATTCAACTCTCGTCTTCCGAAACTAAAGAATATCCTTTTAGATTTGTGTGAAAATAATTTTCAGTATATTTATATTTTGAAGTTATAATAAATAAAACACAAGGATAATCATCCTAAATATTGAACAATATTTACCACAATATATTTTCCTATACAAATAACTATATGTTGCACTTTCAAGAGAGAGATAATTATCGACAACAAGAGTTTTGATTATGGCAGAGTAACCAAAGCATTAGAAGAAACATATACAAAAAAAAACACTCTCTATAAAGAAGTATTCGATAAGATACCATCGTATTAGGTAACTTTAAACTACAATACATAATTATCTATTTAATATGACTAAAATTGATCATTTATGTAAGTTCTGATGATATCCTTTCATTTTGAATTCACATATTATGCTAATGCAACAATATTTTTCGGTATTTAGATGATTATTATAGTATTATATATAAAATTTCTCTCACTAATTAAATTTATTATTCCTTCGTATAAATAAATATTTAAATCATCATGTATCATTACTAACATGCAACGCACGTTTATAAATACTAGTATATGCATAAATGTGTATAATCACGGAATAATCGATGTAAACCAGCTAAAAAAAATAATCATTGAACCTGGCCGGCTATATGTGTAACAATCCCAAACCACCTTTCACATAACATCCTTATGATCTTCCCCATTATTAAATAACTTAATCATTTTGGGCACTTGAAAATTTCAAATATGCAAAAAGTATCACACAGAATGACTACAGAATTATGCTTGCAACATCAAATCAATCAAATAAAAAATGTCGTTGCTCGTCTTTACGCTTCAAATAAATCTTAAAAAACGCGTGCAAGTGGAAAATCATGGTGTGGTTCAGCTGACATCATTATCAGTGCTAGTAAGGTTCTTCTGATCAGCGACAATACCATTACCAGATTTAATAAGGTTCTCCTGGTCAGCTACAACACCATTATCAGTGTTAGTAAGATTCTTCTGATCATCTTTTGCAGAGACTTCTGTTTTGCCCTCATTAGGAGCAGTAAGAATTTCAGAAATGAACTTTATCAACGAGCAGAGACCACCCAAGAAGTTATGATCAATCACACCTCGTCCTTCGTAAACATGAGCAAAGTCAATCAGCTTGATTTGAGCACCTGGATTCCTTCCTTCCAATGCCAGCTCTTTTTCAAAGACCACCAGAATTGAGCAAGCATAGAAGTGATATATAGTTTGATCTTCAAACCAAGCTTTCAGCTCTAATAACTGAGATAAAATGCCAGCAGAGCCGCCATAGACAGTTGACGCCAGAGCGCAGTCTGGTTCCAGATCCAAGTCATTTAATGTGTTTGAGGAAACAAACCTTCTCAGGACTAACTTGACTTCCTCTGTAGAGAATTTCTGAGCAGCTTTCTTTCCCGGCTTCCAGAAGCCTAATTCTTTGCTTCTAAAGATTTGCAACCCTGATATCCTGAATCCTAATGGAAGGCTTGATGATTCTCGATCCTTTTTTAAGCACTTCTCGACGTATTCCTGGGATGCTTCAGGTGCCCAGGTTCTTGAACCAATCTTTACGTCCATAATTGACGGGTTGACTTGACCTCGAGCAATATCTTTTAAGACCAAGTGAGGCTTCAAGCCAGATCCATCAGATGCCTCTATGAGTTGAGTGCCATAAAAGGTGGGGAAGAATCTTCGAATGTGTTCCGGGATCCCACTATTGGTAGACAATGAACGATAGAAAGCAACCTCATTGGACCCTCGTTCATCGTCTTGCAAAGGCTTGTAGAAGCGCCCTGATTCGTCCACGAGGGGACCCAGCTTTCCATCGACCGCTTCGTGTCCTGCAACTTGATGGGGAGGGACCTTAAGCATCTTCACAGAAAGTGAGGTACTTCAGAATAAAAAGAAGGGAAATATCTAGCAATCAAAGTCTCTGACACAAAAAGTCGTTCCTGTGAAATTGAGACCGAGTTACAGCTCATATCAGCCTCAAGGAAAAGCAAAAAGTGCAACAGAGTAAAAGGAATAGGAAAATCATTGAATTCTTGGTACTTGCAAAACCAAGATATTCAAGTAATAGATTGAATCGAACTCCAGTTTTGTTATTGGGATTGCAATAGCACATATAACTTAAATTAACTTTCACCATGATCATCACTACGGATCCAAGAACCACAAGAGCCCAAAGATAAAAGAAAAAGTAATAATCAAAAAATAGAAAAAGAAAACATATCAGTTGTCTCATACACGCAGACTTAGTTATGCTTTTATCTCTAGGATATCACTGGTGAGAAATTACATTTTTCCCATATAGTCCGAGTGGTCAAATACTTCATGGTCTCCTGGAAACACCTTTTATGACATTAATCAAATTTAAGTCACTTCATTACTATTATTTTCCGAAATCTTAGCTCAAAACAAGCTAAAAGAAACTACCAGAGGAAACCAACTTACACAAGAGATGCACGAATTTAAGGATACACTACAAAGCCAATCAAGGTTGATCATCCAAGATATGACTAGTTTTCTTCTTTAGCTGGTCCTGTCTATCAGTACACAAACTCTTTAAACAAGACGAGAAATATATGTATAACCCAAACTTCTTGTTTCAATTCATTTATTCCTGAGGTGTACTCTTTCGTGACTCCCATGCCGAAGCTTATGCAGGTACTTCTCTTCTTTGTTAGACTTTCTTTCACCCGGTCCATAACCAACAATGATTCCATTAACGGCTAAACCGCTGACGGATGGATTTAAAAACTACTATCCACAAGGACAACCACACGGTGTCATTCCCATTTTGGATAATGAATTTCCAGGACAAACAACACAAATTTGACCTCTAATAAATTAACACACAAGTCACAAGACCAAAAAGAAATAACACCTATAACAGAATCACTAAATTATGCAGAGAATAGTTGGTTAAGGGGAAAAAAACAGGAAAGAAGTTAGAAATACGAGATGCCCAGCAAGCTTGAAGCCACATTCTTATGAATTAGATGAGTTATTGCAAAAACAAATTGTCTAGTACATTCTAATGAATGAGTTGGAGATACATCAATCAAGTAACCTGAACCCTAAATTAGTCTTATTCTACTATATGAATCATTTGTATCCATTCTCCTCCAATTAATAAGTCAACATTATCAATCAAGTAAGCATCAATCTAAAAAAAGTTAAAGTTAGCTAGATGAAACATCCGTGTCCAATTTGATCCAATGTACAAGTGGATTGAGAGAGAAAAAGGCGAAAGATAGTCATGTAATTTTCCGGGCCGGGAAAAAACTTAAACCACTTCTATTTTAGTAAAGGTTGCACTAAGTTTCTCATTCTGAACAGTTGCAGAGTCAGATCCAGCACGACCCAACGACCTCAAACTTGGACAATATATTTATATCGAAAACTCAAAGAAAAATTTTCAATATATATATATATATAATGGTATATCCCCTGCCTTTAGATCTTGGATTGACCTCTAAAGAGTTGCATAGGTAGATCACAGGTAAAAGATTTAAGATTTGCAGCATAACAGAGACATGAATCACTGGGTGTTAAACAGATAAAGGAACAAAATATCGCTTTAAAACTAAGAAGATGCAAGAAACCTGGGGAAAAAACCCAACTTTGGCAGTATACTCAGAAATAAAAATCAAATCTACAAAAAGTGATAGAAAAAGTAGTGTCAGATTAAGTTCTTTCACAATATAAAACATACAACTGAACTAGAAAATTAAACCAGCTTGGCCTATGTGATAGCAACAATAGGAAAAACAAAAAAGCAAATGAATAATAAACCATAGAAATCAGACCAAAGTGTGCGACTTTATTTAAGTATTTATTTCTCTTTACATGTTAAAATAGAAGCAAAGCTGAACGTTTCATTGGTATTAACAATCTTTACACATAAAACAACATCAAAATTCGAGAAAAATAAACACTGCAGAATAAAGCAAGTTTTGAATTAGAAAATTCATATAATTACCTCTCTTTTAACTCCTTCGAAGAAGCGGTCAATTATTTGAAAAGTGAGATTTTAATTGTGAGAATTTGAGGTTTAAATAGAAGAAGGCGAATAAGATTGACTACTGCGGGTTCATTGGGCGATGTAGAGAGGCAGTTATGTGGAAGATTTATAACCTGACACGTGTTATTTCTCTGACTAGCTTCTACCAATTGTAGTGATACTTGCTGTTGGAAGCTTGTAGAGAATAAAAACTGATTAAAAGTAGTATTCGTATCAGATCCAAACTTCAAAAAGGATATTCGCTTTTCCGCACGCGTATTTTTTAATTTACTAAATTAATCTGTTCAAAAAAGATGTTCCTATAAATGTATTCTTCTTTTCCCTTTTTATGTTCTTCCTGTTTTTTGACATTGTCAACAAAAGAATCCCTCTCATGAAAATATTCTTTCTTTTTGGCTACTTTGAATATAATCCAAAGTTTGACTTTTTATAGTACTGAATAAGCTGTATTAGTAATACATGAGTTAATAGCATTAGTTATGTAGAGATTATTTTTTTTCCACTGTTTGGTAATGTGTATTAAAAATTAAAATACATATTATTTAGCTTTAAGGGACTTTAAGAATAATTTTGTCTTTAACCAAACTAATGCATGCATTAATAGCCTTAGTATGGCTAATATTATGGTTTGCTATATATTACTTGTACATAGGATAATATCAAAATTAGTAATACATATATTGAAAAAGTATACCAAACAAGGGATTAATAATATCAAAAATGAATGCATACATTATTTTCTGTAATGCATCCTACCAAACGGTTCCTTGTACATATCCTAATGTTAACCTTGAGGTAAGGTTTTGGAAAACATCATGAATGTCTGCAGGTGAATTTTAAAGAACTTTTCACGAATTTTGACCTTGTGGATGTGAGCTCGAAAATATAGATATAACTTGTTATAAATAGAATTCATATTTAGAGAGATTCTAGGGTTTATTACTTGGTGGCTAAGTCACCATCTCCCTATAATAGAGGGTTCTATTCCATTGTAATTCATCCCAAATCAATAAGAATTCCCTCTCTCTCTTTCTCTACAATACTGCTCTTCTTCTTTTATTGTTTCATAACACGTTATCAGCACGAGACTCTACCGTCTCAAGAAGATTAAGAAACATGTTTTATGTTTTCAATATCCAGTTGCGCCTATGCTGAAAGGTTGTGTATGTAAGTCAGTAGTGTTCGTTGTCTTCACTTACCTCTTAGAGAAGAATTAGCAAACAACAATTGATCAAGACTTAGAAGACTTTTCAACTGTGAATCAAGATTAGAAAACGTGCAACGGTCTTTATTCAATGGATCAAACAAATGTCGATAACTCTCCAGGTAAACTTGGATCAAAGTTCAATTGTAAAAATATTTGTTTAATTGATTCATGTACGACACATACAATATTCAAAGAGAAGAAATATTTCTCTCATTTAAGTATGTGTAAGGCAGATGTTACTCAATTTCTGGTAGTAGTAATTTAATTGAAGGCTCTAGAAGAGCTACTATAACTCTGCCTAAGGGAACAATACTTATTATAGAGAATGCAATGTTCTCCTCCAAGTCTAAGAGGAACTTGTTGAGTTTTAAAGATATCCGCAGAAATGGATATCATATTGAGACAATAGATGAGAATAATCTTGAATATCTCATCATTACCAAAAATGACTCTGGCCAGAAAAGGGCTATTGAGAAGTTCTCATCTTTGTCTTGTGGCCTGTATTGGACAAGAATTAGTGCAATTGAGGTGCATTCTATTGTAAACCAAAAGGTTACCGATTCCAATACTTTTGTACTTTGGCATGATCGATTGGGACACCCTGGATCAATTATGATGAGACGAATTATAGAAAACTCAAATGGGCATCCATTAAAGAATTTAAAGATTCTTTTAAATGATGAATTTTCTTGCACTTCTTGTTATCAAGGCAAGTTAATTATTAGACCATCACCTACAAAGGTTGGAATTGAGTCCCCTGCGTTTTTGGAACGTATACAAGGGGACATTTGTGGACCTATTCACCCACCTAGTGGGTCGTTTAGATATTTTATGGTCTTAATAGACGCATCTTCTAGATGGTCCCATGTGTGCCTATTGTCATCTCGCAACCTCGCGTTTGCAAAATTAATGGCACAAATAATTCGATTACGGGCACAATTTCCCGATAATCCAATTAAGTCTATTAGACTTGATAATGCTGCTGAGTTTTCATCCCAAGCATTTAATGATTATTGCTTATCAATTGGGATAAAAGTGGAACATCCTGTAGCTCATGTTCACACTCAAAATGGTCTTGCAGAGTCTTTAATTAAACGTCTGCAATTGATAGCAAGACCGTTACTCATGAAAACCAGGCTGCCCACTTCTGTTTGGGGTCACGCCATTTTACATGCAGCAATGCTAGTTCGTCTCAGACCGACAAATTATCATAAATATTCCCCGTTGCAATTAGTTTTGGGTCATGAACCTAATATATCCCATTTAAGAATTTTTGGATGCGCAGTATATGTGCCTGTAGCACCGCCATATCGCACCAAAATGGGTCCCCAAAGAAGGTTAGGAATATATGTTGGTTTTGAATCGCCCTCCATTATTCGCTACCTCGAAACATTGACGGGGGATTTGTTTACTGCACGATTTGCAGACTGTCGATTCGATGAGACACTCTTCCCAAAATTAGGGGGAGAAGTTGGTGAAACCAAACGGGAAATTTTGTGGAAAAATCCATCATTATCTCATCTTGATCCACGCGCCTCAATTTGTGAAAAAGAGGTGCAAAATATTATTCATTTGCAGAGAATAACAAATCAAATGCCAGATGCATTTACGGATATGAAAAGGATAACAAAATCACATATCCCTGCGGAGAATGTTCCAATCCGTATTGATGTCCCTATTGGACAATCTTCTAGTGTCATAGCTAATGAGTCAAAAGCACGCCTTAAACGTGGCAGACCATTAGGTTCCAAAGATCGAAATCCTAGAAAAAGGAAAATAAATGATCAAAATGACACTACGAAAGAATCTCATGAAGAAATCCACGATTTAATAAATTCTGAGATTCATGAGGAATCCACTGAGCCCGAGACTCAAGAAAATAAGGAACTATCAACAAATCCAATCGATATTGAGACAAATTTGAATCGAGTGGATATAGTGGTGGATTATGTCTTTGCATATAATGTTGCATCTAGCATTATGCAAGAAAATGAGGATCTTGAACCTCAATCTGTTGGAGAATGTCGACAAAGACTTGATTGGCCAAAATGGCAAGAAGCAATCCAATCAGAGTTGAATTCGCTTGCAAAACGTGAAGTTTTTGGGCCTATAGTCCAAACACCTAATGGTGTTAAGCCTGTTGGCTATAAATGGGTCTTTGTACGCAAGAGAAATGAGAAAAACGAGGTACAAAGATATAAGGCACGCCTTGTTGCACAAGGATTTTCACAAAGGCCTGGTGTCGATTATGAAGAGACATACTCACCCGTTATGGATGCTATAACTTTCCGTTACCTCATTAGTTTTGATGTCCAGGAAAAGCTTGACATGCATTTAATGGATGTGGTTACCGCCTACCTTTATGGCTCACTTGATAATGAGATATACATGAAAATTCCTGATGGATTTAAAATGCCAAATGCACATAATTCAAAGTCTCTGGAAATGTTTTCAATCAAATTGCAAAGATCTTTGTATGGTCTAAAGCTATCAGGACGAATGTGGTATAATCGTCTTAGTGAGTATTTATTAAAGGAAGGCTATATAAATGATGCCATTTGCCCATGTGTTTTTATAAAGAAAACAACATCGGAATTTGTTGTACTTGCCGTATATGTTGATGACATAAACCTTATTGGAACTCCTATAGAACTCCAAAAGGCAATTGATTATTTAAAGAAGGAATTCGAGATGAAAGATCTCGGAAAGACAAAATTATGTCTTGGTTTGCAAATTGAACATTTGGCAAACGGAATTTTTGTTCATCAATCTGCCTACATAGAAAAGGTATTGAAACGGTTTTACATGGATGGAGCACATCCATTAAGTACTCCGATGGTTGTTCGATCACTTGATGTGAATAAGGATCCATTCCGACCTCAAGAAGAGAATGAAGAGCTACTTGGTCCTGAAGTACCATATCTTAGTGCAATTGGTGCACTAATGTATCTTGTTAATACAACAAGGCCCGACATAACTTTTTCAGTTAATGTCTTAGCAAGATATACCTCTGCTCCCACAAGGAGACATTGAAATGGAATCAAACACATATTGCGGTATCTAAAAGGGACTACCGATATAGGATTATTTTATGGCAACAATTGCAGTCCTGATCTTGTTGGTTATGCCGATGCTGGATATTTATCCGATCCACACAAGGCTCGATCTCAAACAGGTTATGTATTTACCTGTGGAGGCACTGCCATATCTTGGCGATCGACTAAGCAATCAATTATGGCTACTTCATCTAATCATGCTGAGATAATTGCTATTCATGAAGCAAGTCGAGAATGTGTGTGGTTGAGGTCTATAATACATCTTATTCGAGACAAATGTGGTTTCAAATGTGACAAACTACCCACGATTTT